GATATTAAATGAACATAAACATGAACACTCACATACTCGGCTCGGCTCGGTTCGTTTGCAGCTCTAGACTTGACGTATTAACCCATTCCCATCAAGCATAAAATCCTTTGTCAATTTCCTAAAAGCAAGTGGAAAATTGTGGGCCACCACTTGTCTCCCATGTGCTACAGTTTAACTTTTCTTCTTTAATAAACGTTGGAGCCTTATGCTTCATTCGTATTATACTTAAACAAGAAAAAAATCAGCATCATTTTTTTATTTTTATGACGAGAAAACATTTAAATAAAATTTAGTGATGGAAGGTAGGAGCACAAATTTGTTTAGATATTATTAAGCTCGAGCTCGATTCGTTAAAAAATTTATAGGCTTGAGCACGGCTCATTTGCTCGAGTTTGTTTAAAAAGCTCGAACTTGACTTGATTGTTAAGCTCCATTTCTTAGTTTTAAATTAAAAAAAATAATTGTTTTTTTAATAATTTTTATATTTTAATATAGAATTAATTTAATTTTATTAAAATATATTATATAATACTAATTTAAATTAATTATTAAATACATTTTAATTTAATCGAGCGTTTAAGCGAGCTTTCGAGTTGAGTCAAGCTTGAGCTCAACTCGTTTAATATACAAGCTCGAGTTCAAACTCGTGGGTCGATAATCTCTACTTGTGAGCTCTTTAACATGTCGAACCCGAGACGGCTCGGCTCATATTCACCCTAATTAAAGAGAACGAATTCAAATCAAATGTTTTAGTATTAGTATTAATTGTCATTGGTTTTATGTATGTTCGCTACTAGCCACCCCCGCTCATTGCCGACCACCCACCACTGGCCACTATCGGTCTCCCATTGCCACCACAACATCGATCACGTCTATCGCCGCTGGCTGCCTACCACAGAGGCCATCATTGACCGTAGCCAGTCGGCCGCCCGCCGCCGCCTGTCAATGCCACCACCACAGCTTCCCTCCAACATCGACCGTCGACCATTGCTGAGCACCATGAGCATAACTTTTTTATACTCTGTTTTGCATTCACTTTACTTCAAACCAAATAAAAAATAAATAAATTTATACATTTCTTGTATACTCATCCAAACAACTCCAAAATATTCCTTTTACACCACATTCCTTTTACACTGCATTCATTTTTCAAGGAACCAAACAACCTTTTAGTATTGATATATCATTAAAAATTTATCTTGATCGGGCATGAATCTCATGGCAAAATTAATTTAAAAACTTATGAAATTAAATTCGGGACCATCCGAATTCCGATTTCAGCAAACTTATAGTTGAACATAAAGTTTCAAAAAGATGATTCATGCTTGTAGACAAATTGAGTGGCTTGGCGAGACAAATCCAACGAGCCCAAGATCGTTGAATTCTGACATCATTAAGACACTCAAATACTTGATAAAAAGTCTATAATCAAGAAAGCCAATATTGGCCGTCCATTTAAAACACTACCAACATGCCATTGATATTCTCCCTATTTAATAGTCTTTCCACTCGAAAAAAATTATAAATAGAACCACCATTTTTCATTGAGGGAGGAGCAAAAGGGGGAAGAAAAGGAAAGAGGAGAGGAGATGAAGAGTAACCTGAGATCTCTTTTGCTACCAAACTCCTCATCGACCACCTCCCTGCTACCGACTGTCGCCAAACTTTCATCGGACTTCTTACCAGCCACCAACTATCTTCGAACTTACGCCGAGCCACCAGCTAATGCCATATTTATACCCGACCACTATCTTTTGTCGGTCCTTTCGACCACCATCACCCAACTATGGTTTTTCTAACCACTGTCGTCGACTATGATATGTTCGAACTTGATCACCCGCCAACTACGATCCTTCCGACCACCTTGCCAGACTACGGTCTTTCTGACCTCCATCTCCCTGCTACGGCCATTTTGAACATCGTCGTTAGCCGACTATGATCCTTCTGACCTCCATCATCGACAACTATCTTTTTTACCACAGTCGTCTGCCGACTACGAATCTACGATCCTTCCAACCTCTGTCGCCAGACTACGACCTCTCTCACCAGACTATGATCTTTCAGAATTCCATCTCCTGTAGACTACTGTCCTTCTAACATCTGTTGCCATACTACAGTCTTTATGACCTCCATCACTCGGTGACTATGGTACTTTCAAACCTTTGTCAACAGATAATAGTTCTTCTGACATCCGTTGTCTATCGATTATAATCCTTCCAACCTATATTGCAAGTTAACGGTCCTTTTGACCTTTGTTTCCTACCAACTATGGTCCTTCTGATCTTCCTCGCTTATCGACTACGATCCTTCTAACGACCGCTCCCCAACTACACTCTTTCCGACCTTCGTCGCCCGCCGACTATGATCATTCAGACCACCGTCCCCTAACTACGATCTTCCGACTTTCGTCGCCTGCCGACTATAGTTATGCCGACCAAACAAGCATATATTGATTCTTCCAATTCCCACCATGTAATGCCCTTTATATGATGTATATTTCCTATATCATGCAAAGGCCATTTCCTCAAAAAAGAGCATAATTTGTAATCGACTGCAAACACTAGTTGATTCATTCAAACTGGGCCAAACCCCATGGTTTCCCTCTTTTAGGGTTTTTCACATAAAAACCCTGGGGTCTCTTATGAAAAACGTTACTCCCTTTTCTTTTATCTGATTGTGTGCTATCTTCGTACAAAGCTAAAACGTTAAACTTTATATTTTTTTATTGCCGCGATTATTTCAAGACGTAACTAGTATATTTCTTTAGGGTTGATTTTAAAAAAAAATCTCTTAGTTATTTATTTATAGTCATTTTAATCTCAAAGTATAAGATTGCTTCAATTTAATCACTCGATTATGTAAAATTGATTAAAAATTATCTCTATTTAAGATTAAATTGGAATCAATTTTGCAAAATCAAGGAACTAAAATATGATCAATTTTATATCACAATTACAATATGATGGAATATTTTGGGATCAACTTTAAATAGTCGAAAAATTAAATTGAGCAACGTGATATTTAGGGACAAAATTGGCCACCGACAAATAATTTGAGGACTACTTTGAATTTTATAACTTGATAAAGATGTTTTTCTTTTGCTTTCACATATTGCCAGCAATTTTAGCCGACCCTAAGTTTATAAATATAGTTTGGCTAGTCCTAACCCTCATAAATATATATACTTTTCATCACTTCAAGATAATCTAAACGTGACTATAGGGCAATTACTTGATCGAATGCTCAGAAGCTGACAGTTTTAGGGTAGATAAGGATGGCTCAACTGATTGAATTTATAATTACCAAACTATTTACGAAGCATCATTATCGATAAGTTATAAATTTCTTTTTTTTTGGATTTAATAAGGACTATTCAAAATTTGATTTTAACAAACTTACAGTCGAATTGGACATCTAGATGAGACAAATCTATCAATATTAAAAGTTATCCGGTATTCAGATCAAATATTTTAAACATAATTGAAACTATTGTGTAAATTAGTCGAGTTCTTACTTAACAGAGCGAAACTCGTTTAATTTTATATTGAGAGGAGAAATTATTCTGTATGACATCAGACCGTACGGAGATTAATCAGAATGCGCCATGTCATCTGGTACACAACTGTACTGAGCACCAGTACCGAACAAAAAAGTGATGTGACACATTATGGTTGGTCTCCAGATGCTGTCAAGGGTCCGCACATAATAATTTTTCCCATAAGAGAGCTCGAGATTGACTCATTTTGGAGCTTGATATTTTATTGTGAATCTAGTAAAAAAATTAATTATGCTAATATAAATGTTGATGTGTTTTTTATTGTTAATTGAGCCAGCTTTACAAGCCGAGCAGAGTTGGGCCATGCTCGTTCTTGAGCTTGTATAATATATGAGCTCTAATTTAAATTTAAATTCAATCAAATAAGAAATTATTCTATGTAGTTTATATTTACCATATAGCACCAAAATCTCTTCCAATTAAGGGAAAGGGGCTCATTCGTAATTAGTGACAAATATTTTATGAATATTTTCTATTAGATAAAGTCCCTTTCTTTTTTAGGTTTTTTATATAAAGACTGGTATCCGTTTTAACTCTCATTTGTCTATGTGCGCTGGATTTTAATAAAATATTAATACAATTTATTAATATTATTGCGGGCTAGAATATACGCGGCGATAGAGTCAGAAAGTATTCGTCTCAGCGTTATATGAATATTCAGCACATAAACAGAAGATGAAAGAACACTAGGATTTTTTCGAGGAAAACCCGAGAAATGGAAAAAATCATGGGGTTACGCCCAGTTGAAAAAGTTTCACTAGTGTTTGCTTGAGATACAAGAGACTATCTCGTATGTAAAATTTAGGACTATCAGATTACAATGAATCACTTCTGGATTGAAATCAAGTTACAATGTTGGGCAGAGTTCTGACGTTAATTACTTGGAGATTGGGTAGAATTCTGACATCGTTTGGAAGTCGAGCAGAATTTCAGCGTCGTTCAGAAGTAAGGCAGAATTTTGGCGTCGTTCGGAAGTCGGGTAGAATTCCGGCGGCTGTGGTCGAGGAGGAGTTTCTTCCCTCCTAATATTCTTCTCTTCTCTTGTCCTTCTTATCTTCTTCTTCTTGCTTGGGTCCACTCTCAAGAGAAATGAGGGGTTATTTATAGTTTTTTAAGGATGACATGACCCGTAAATAGGAGGATCAAGGGCAAATGAGGAGTAGTTGGATGGACGGCCGATATTGAATCCCTTGGATTGAGTCAAATATGGTGTCGTTGGGTTCATATTTCTGAGACGTTCAGTTTGACTGTAAGTTTGTTGAAATCGGAGTTCAGATTATCCCAGATTTAATTTTTGAAGTTTCCAACTTGTTTTTTGCCTTGAGATTCATGCCCGATCAAAATAATTTTTTGATGATATATCAAATCTCAAACTCTTATATATATATATATATATATAACATAGTATAAGCTTGGTAATATATAAAGTTGAAACATCACCACAGTCAAATTTTACCACTCATTTGATGGATAACCAAAAAGCATGGTCCTTCAGTTTGGCATTCCACATAAATTTTCATGCCAACTAGGAGCTCCACAAGAGTATGAAATGCACAAGGGTTGTAACTTCTGTCAGTTCCAGTTCCTGAGTTATTATAGAGGACATCAAAGAGACAAAAGATATAGAACAATAAAAAAATTAAAAAGGAAAATGAAGGTTAAATTTACAATAGAAAGCATACCATAATTACCCTTGGTTCTTCTGCAACAGTCTGGCTGAAGAGATACAATCATAGGCTCATCATGAAACTAATAAAATGGGCAAAATAAACCTATCATAATCAGCCAGACTCTAATATAAAGCCATGCAATCAACTAAGGCTTCGTTTGGGACGGCTGTCATATTGCTTCTTAAAACAACTTTCTAGTACAAAAATTAAGAAAGTTGTTTTAAGAAGCAGTTAGAAAGCTGTCTCAAATGAAGCATAATCCTAAAAGTGTTCAGCTTACCACCAATCTATTCTCATTATCAATTTCATGCAGAGTGATAGCAGCATTTTCACTTTGAATTGGATTCTGTCCTGATGGTGTATCTAGATTGTTCTTCATTGGTAAGCATTCATTTGAGTCCTCTAATCTGATGCTGGGTTTTCCACAGGGAGATCTCAATGACGCACTTTCTAAATTATCAATCTTCTTTGCTAATGTTTTTTTAAGACTGTTTACTTCACTGGAGAGCTCATTTGCTGTTAAAACAGCAGACAATATTAAGGCTCAAATA